GCATTAAATCAGCTCACCAATGTGGTTCCATTGGCACCAGGGCATTTTCTCAGTGGTAGAACCAGATGTGGAGAGGCTGTGCCCAATTCAAGGAGGTGGCCAGTGAACTGCCATAACACAAAAGTCTAATTAAAGTCTAATAGAGTGCTGCCAGTGTAATGGTAGTAGCTGCTGTGTTGGGAGTAAGCTCCAGGCTGAATAGTCCAAAGAGACTACTATGAGAAGGAAAGGCAGCCTCACATCTTCATCAGTTTCCCTGCAGGGCTTTTCCTTTCGACATTCAACCCTGGCATTTTATTTTTGAATAATTCAAAACAATCTACCTGGCCCAGCTTCTGAGGTCTGCAGTGTCTTTCTGCAGCTCCCACCTTGCCTGGGCACCCTGCTATGGTTTCAGAGCCACTGGCCTTCAGGTTGGACTGTCAGTAGCAACAGTAGCTCACCCGCCTTCCTGAATTAGATAGTGGGCCCACAGGCAGTCAGGGAGCATTCTGCATGTGGTAAAGACAACACAGCTGCCAGCAAGTTCAACTCAGGATTTGCTGTTGTGATGTTGGAGACACAAGGTCTATGTAAAATTCAAGCCGTGTTTCAATGGCAACCTGGATTAACTAAACATGAGTGACAGGTTATTGTGCCAGGCTATCAATTTGAATGCGTTTTGTTCTTTTCCTGCATTTCCTAATGCAATGATGATGTCTTTCCAGTGTGCACTTAGGCATATTAACAATGCTAACAGAATGCATTGATCATCAGATTAAAAGATATAATTACCTTCCAGTGGTAATTGGCATCCAGTTCTAATTCACAAGGTTATAGCCAACCTTAGAAAATAGGCTTTGAAAGAAAGACTTACATTACCTAAGTATCTTATCAAATCTCAAAATTTTTTAAATAAAATGATTCCTTTGAGGGTCACTACTACATTTTGTTTGGCAGATTTTCACCAGTAATCACATGCATTTGGGGAAAACAATATTGTTATAGATTCATTGTTTAGTAAGTTCAGGTCAACACTCGGGTGCATGAAGATTAACATGTTTTATTGAAAGCAACACAGCTCACTAGAAAGTGTAGGGGAGAGTCTGACAAAGACATGACATACTCGGGGCCCAGTTCATCTTGTTCTGGCCTCCTCAAAATGTAGCTCCTTATGCAAACACTCAGTAACATCAATTCCAGGAAAGTTATAGTTACGCCTTTACTCCACAGGCGGAAGGTTTTTGAGTGAAGCAGTAATTGTGAGGTAGCAAGGAGGAAAGGGACACGAGACATGATGTTGAGTTTAAATAAAATTGTCACAGTAATACAGGGAGCCACTTTCCCCTCCGAGGGTACATGCATACCAACTGGAATGCTGATGCAAGGCCGATGCATTTACTTGCAGTTTCTCCCACCAAGCATAGACCTCACAGGTCCACACAGCGGCTGGAGAAATTAGAGGAATTTTGGCAGGGAGTATTCTGCCGTTCCGTCTGAAATCACACAACACCAGATTATAGTCCAACAGGTTTATTTGAAAGCACAAGCTTTCGGAGCCTCACGCCTTCTTCAGGTGTTAGTGAGAGAGATGGTATCAGACACAGAATTTATAAGGAAAAGATTAAAGGGTCACACCACTGATGAGGATGTATTAAATAAACCTAAGATGCTGTTAAATCTTTAATCAGTTAGAAGGTTTTAATTAATTAATGTGTATATGTAAACCCCGAATTCCTTTCAAGTCACAGTCCTGAGAGAACTAAAGGTTTTCTCAGTGTAAAGAAGAGGTGACATTTTAGGTCAGACAATGTATGTTAGGTGTAAGGCCTTGTTTAGAGTCTGTTTGTGTTTTGGTTTGGAGTCAGACTGGTTTTATTTCTAAAGTAGGAATTTATAAAACGCCACATTGACTGTCTATAAATTGTGTGATGAATGGACACTGCGCATAACCGCCAGACAGGGGTGTTTCCTCCCAGTGGGTGAACACTTCAGCAGTCGAGGACATTCAGCCACAGATCTTCGGGTAAACGTTTTCCAAAGTGGACTACGGGATACACAACAACGCAGAGTCGCCGAGCAGAGGCTGACAGCCAAGTTCCGTACCCATGAGAACGGCCTCAACCAGGATCTTGGGTTCATGTCGCACAACAGGTGACCCCTCCACACTATACACATACACACACACACACACACACACACACACACACGCATGTGTACACACACACTCACTCACACTCTCTCACACACTCTCACTCAGATCCTCTCTCATAACACACACTGTCTCTCAAGCTCGCATGCGCGCACCCACGCACCCACATATGCACACATGAGAATCTATGGGGTCAATATGTATTTGCAGACACATTCTATTTTGTTCAAAAAGCACACAATTTATAGACAGTCAGTCATTGTGGCATTTTATAAATTCATATTTTAGAAATAAAACCAGTCTGATTTCAAACTAAAACTCAAACAGATTCTAAACAAGGCCTCATACTTAACATGCATTGTCTGACCTAAAATGTCACTTCTTCTTTGCACTGATAAAACCCTTATTTCTCTCAGGGCAGTGACTTGAAAGGAATTTGGGGATTTACATATACATATTAATTAATTTAAAACGTCTAACTGATTAAAGATTTAACAGCATCTTAGGTTTGTTTCGAATATCCTCACCAGTGGTGTGACCCTTTGATCTTTTCCTTATAAATTCTATGTCTGATACTACCTCTGTCACTAACACCTGAAGAAGGAGTGAGGCTCCGAAAGCTTGTGTTTTCCAATAAACCTGTTGGGTATAACCTGGTATTGTGTGATTTCAGACCTTGTCTACCTGCATCCAACACCAGTACCTCCACATCATGGTTCCAATGTCTGACGAATGCCACTTAAACTGTTTCATGTGGGTCAGATAACATTCCATTCAGTAGCCATATAGAAGAAAATTATTGAGAGTTAATAATTCATCATAGCTTTGCTGAATAATTTGAAGTTTTAACAGTTTTATCAGTCAGTTGAATACTACAAGTGAAAGATGCAATCTTGATTCAATTTGAATGACTTTATAGATAATGTTATTTGGGTCTGCTTAATTTAATTCATAATGAATAGTGCAAGAAGCAAACTAATTTATACACAGAACAGCGTACAAACTCTCAACAATTAATCTTATATCAAAGCTGATAACTAAAAAAATGGCCATATTCCCACACAAGCAATCTTAAAGATGAATTTTAAATTAATGATGTTGAAGCCCTTGCACCAGAACATGGTGATCATTTTCAAACATTCTGTATATTCTGGAGTGATTCTGGGAGCTAGCAACTGTCACCACTGTATTTAAAAGGTGACTGAGAGAAGGAGGGAGAGAGCAGGAAGCTGTGGACCTGTAAACCATACATCAGTAGTAGGGACAATGCTAGACTTTATTATCATGAGGGATGTGATATATAGACACATTTGGATAATAATAATCTGATTGGGCATAGTCGTCATGGATTTGTGAATGATGAATAAAAAATCAAGTTTGACAAAGTTGTTGGGTTCTTTTTTAAATTGTTGCTATTCTTGGATTTTCAGAAGGCTTTCGATAATGTACCCCATAGGATGTTGGTTAGCAAAGTTAAGGCACATGAAAAAGGAAGTTAATGTACTGCCATGGATTAAGGATTGACAAAGGCAGAAACAAAATATGACAGAATACGATTCTTGGGCCTAGCAGGGGTACTACAAGAATCAATGCTTTTCCCTCTGCTGTGCACGATATATACCAATGATTTGGATGTGGCGACCAAACTAATATCTCTAAATTTGAAGATGACACCAAGTTAAGTGGGAATCTGCGTTGGGAGAAGACATAAAGTGTAGGATTGAAGGATGTAAAGATGAACAGGCATAATGAATGGGCTAGAACATGACAGAGGATGATAATATGTCAAAATATGAGGTCATCTATCTATTTTGATAGGAGGACCAGATGTGCAGTGTATTTCTTACATTGTAAGAGGTAGTATGGTAAGAGGTAGATATACAAAGAGAAATAGGTGCTGTTGTCAGTAAGACATTGAATGTTAACATTCAGGTGCAGGAAGTTATTGGGAAGGCCAATGGATATTGGCCTTTATTGCAGGACGATATGAGTACAGGACTAAAATAGTTTTGATAATGTGCTATTGCACACTTATGATGGCAAAGAACTTGTTATACTAGCACATTACATCAAATGCTGTTCTCTGCAATGTGCTCTTGGAACCTTGTAACTTTATTCTGCCATTGGGGATGATTAATGTGTGACACGTCGCTTTCCATTCTTTTTTGTTTGACTTTTTCAACTCAAAGTATCTCTCCCATATGTCATTTTGCCCTCCTTCCCTTATTGTCTTCCAACTCATTTATCCCTACTAACCCTTTGATCGGTACCTTGTTGAATTTTTAATGATGTGACTATGACTAACATTTATTCAACAATTATCTTAAAACTAGAATTGCGCTGAGGATGTAATTATAGAATTTTCATTCCTGCCTTGAGGGAACCTTTTTGCTTTCATCCACTTGCGATGCTCCAAACATAGACTTGATCAAGAATAGCAAAGATAAATCAAGTAACTATTGGATATGAATCTCCAATTCTCTGATAAAAAGTGTTCATGCGATTGCATTTCTGAACTATCTTGTGCATTTACTCTTGGTGAGGGAACCAAAATCTATCCCCTTATGAATAAAAACAAAACTATCTTGTGTAAATTGTTCTTTCAAAGAGATGATCTGACAAGAAGAAAAGTAATTTGACGAGAGGTGCTACCGGCAGATTCAAGTACCTGGCAGTTCTGATGTAATAAACTATGACTACGTTTTAACTTGGAGGATGAGAAAACTAATGTAATCTTACCCCAAGCTGGACAATCAAAACTATAACAGCAGACAAAACTATGTAGTCAACAACATAAATGCAGTAAGAAAGAATATGAAATATGCTCATAAAGTCGCGCTGGTTTCTAATCCTGTTCCTCATGTTGCAGATATGGCAGCTGTTGATATCGATCAGTATGACATCCACATCATTGCAGGTGCACTGAAGCATTACTTAAGAGGGTTGCCTTCACCTGTGATTCCACCAGCTATTTACAGTGAGCTAGTCTACACTGCCCAAGGTAAAATACTGCAGATTTGAAGATTTATACCATTCCTTAAACACGAATGCATTATATTTTGCACGATGCCTGATAAATTTAAAATGCTTTTGTGTTCTGGTTTTGGAAATATTCAACCATTTTTCTTGTCTTTTTAAAAGTAAAATCAGAAAATCAGCATTTCAAAGTGTTGACAGATACTGTACTCTGTCTCAAAAACGTGAACATGTAATGCATTAAGGTTTAGAATATTTGAATTTTTTATAACTTTGTTTAGCAAAAAATGTTGTATCCCTACTCTTCACCTGACCTTTCAAACTAACCAAATCTTCCAATATTGGGCTAAAGTATTTAGTTTCTTTCTGGATATGCTACCTAAATCAAGATAGTCATGAACATGCATTGTTTCAGCGAATAAGGATCAAGTTTGTTCACTATTCCCAACATTGTCTAAATTGTTTTTCACATTGGAAGCCTTGGCTCTATACAGGCTGAGTGAATAAATATGCTACCCTGCATTTTACTGAACTGTTTGGATCAGGAGATTTCTGAGTATATTCTTTGTTTTGAGTTAGGTTATTTATTCGGGGAAGCATTTAAGAAACTACCTTGACAATACTTTGTCTCAGCAAGAGTTACTTTTACCCAATGATAACTCAATGATTATGTGTACCTGTAAAATGTGAAGTGAGAGCAGGATCAGTCATACCCATTACTACTCATGTCACAATTCACACAAAAGATAAATATTTCAGTAATACACATTAGACTTTGAAATTTTCAAGAAGATTTATAGCTCGGGTTGTGGAAGAGGTTGTAGACTTGCTCACCAAGCCGTGCGTTTGGTGGCAGACATTTTGTCACCCTGCTCAGTAACATCGTCAGTGCGCCTCCGGTGAAGCGTTGCTATTCCGTCCTGCTTGTTATTTATATGTCTCGGTTTGCTGGGGTGGTTGGTATTACTTCTGGTTTTGTTCTTCAGCGGTTTGTATATCGGGTCCAGTTCAGTGTGTTTGTTGATGGAGTTCTGGTTGGAATGCCAGGCCTCCAGGAATTCCCTGGCATGTCTCTGTTAGGCTCGTGCTATTATGGATGTGTTGTCCCACTCAAATTCATGTCCTTCTTTGTCTGTGTGTATTGAGACCAGTTAGAATTGGTCATGTCTCTTGATTGCTAGTTGTTGTTCATGTATCCTTATTGCCAGTTTTCTTCCAGTTTGGCCCATGTAATGTTTCTCACAGCCCTTGCATGGTATTTTGTATATTGTGTTAGTTTTATTGATTGTAGATATGGGATTCTTTACGTTCATCAGTAGCTGTTGCAGGGTGGTTGTTTGTTTGTGGGCAATCCTGATACCTAGGGGTCTGAGTAGTCTTGTGGTCATCTCTGATATATCCCTGATGTACGGTAGGGTGACTAGTGTGTCTGGCCGCATTGTGTCTTTTTGTTGTGGTCTGTCGTTGTTGTCTCCACGACAGACCACAACAAGAAGACACAACACATCCATAATAGCATGAGCCAAACAGAGACACGCCAGGGAATTCCTGGAGGCCTGGCATTCCAACCAGAACTCCGTCAACAAACACATTGAACTGGACCCAATATACAAATCACTGAAAAACAGAACCGGAAGTAATTCCACCACCCCAGCAAACTGAGACATATAAATAACAAGCGGGACACAACACCAACGCTTCACCGGAGGTGCACTGACAATGTTACCTAGCAGGGTGACAAAATGTCTGCAACCAAACACACCGGCTCAGCGAGCAAGTCTACAACCTCGCATTAGGATTTCTGGTGTCTGTGGAACTCTATGCTAGTGTGCAGTGGGGAGCTAACAGATGTGAGGAAACGTAATTGAAAACAAAATTGGCAGCAGTGTCAACATTAAATAGCTGCACAACTTTGATTGGCCTTTAAGCCATATGGCAGCACTGAAATGTAGACACTATTGATACATACAGTCAAGTGGTTGATAAATGCACCAGTGTCTAAAAAAACGGAGAGCAGTGGAAAACAACAAAAAGTAACTGTGCAATGGCTACCCATTTACAACTGGCTGGATGCAACTAGATGCTGTCTTCAGTGCTAACATTCACAGTCATTCACTGATTAAATTCAAATATAATCGCAATATTGATGCTAACAATTTCTTTTAGCAAATAAATTACTCTGTATGGGATTTATTTATCATTCCAATTCAATGTCCAAAGTATTTATGTATGGTATTATTATTTTTCTGGTCTTAAAGCCAAAGTCTGGGCTAATCATTTGAGAGCTGACATGCACCACCTCCATCTTCATAAAATCTTACTGAAGTAATAAAGCTATCAAGCAACTCATAAGGATATTATAGAGAGTGTATGCGTAATTGGAGCAGGTCAAAATGTTCCACATTGATCCAAAAAAAATCATTGTCAATGTAATAAAATTGAGGCAATTTTTGTTCAAGTTGACAAAGATTTCTATGCTTTGAAAGGATATTAGAAATCCAACAACTAGCGCTGTGGAAAGGTCACTTCTCCACATGGGAAGGGATTACTTGAAGGTGATTCAGCACAGAGCCAGTGTAACAGTTTGCTTTAATTTCTTTCAGCTAAAGACTGAAGATATTGTGTAATCAGATCAAGTGCCAACCCACCGTCCATATGTGGCACAGGTGAATCAGGTCATCTCTGGAGAAAGTGCAGTGAACATTCCAAAATGGTGCTAAAATACGTTCTGACATTAAGAGTTGATAACGTTAAGTAAGCTCCACATTGTGATTCAGTTAGCGTTTTAATAGCCCTGAATGATTCAGATGGGGTTTACTCCTGAGCTCTAAAGTTTGACACAGTTAGAGTTTAGACATGCCTTTCCCTTTGATTGCCTGACAATGTTCAAATGCACAAATTATGGCTGCAATTCTGTCAGGCCAAAGGAGGTCTAACCCACCAATCAGAGCACCAGTGGGAATCCACATCATTTCTGTGGGGGCAAGGGAGATGGGTGAAGAGGGATGAAGGAATCAAGCATTTTGCAGGCACTTAAGTGGTCACCATCAGGCCTTCCCCCTGGGTATGGTACCAGGCGGCAGAAGTCTTTCCACTAGCAGGAGCAGTGGCAGCTTATAGCAATGTACCCACCAGAGGATAGGCCTGAGGTCAAATCCAACTACTCCAGAGGTGTCTAATACCTCTGAAGAGGTACGTTAGAAAATATCTCCAGAATTGCTGAGGGAGCCCAGACCAAAGGTGAGTGAAGGTAGGACAGAAATCGTGGATTAAGAATCATGGGAGAGGAAGGCGCAGAGAGTCGGAGGCAAGAGCAGGGTTTGATTTCAATGGGTAGGGGATTGCACCAAAAGCTAAACCCTGCACCACATCACAGTGTCAGATCCCTTGATCGGGTACAGAGTCTGACAGTGATGGAACCTACCCCCATAAACCCCCACATCACCCATCCAGGACGTTCCTGGAAAATCCAGTCTCTTTTGCTGAGTGGTCACCAAGCCAACATGGAAGCAATGCAGCCCCCATGTAACCTTCAAGCCATCAGTAAACTGTGGTGGACTCGGGAATGATGGGTGTCACTCGGCTCATTATTGAACCTCATTGACATCTCACCAGCAGCTGCCAGGAATCCCGGTCTGCCACCCTCAGCCCGCTGAACTAATCAGCAATGTTCACTGGCACCACCAGGAAGGGAACATGAGCTCTTCCCTCCATTAAATCCAGCCCTTTGTTTCTGTGAGGTGTTCTCATTTCTTCTATTCCATCATCTCTATCTGGTATTTATAATTGAAACCAAGAGACTAAAGCAGTTTGATTTACAGGAAGCATCATGTATGGTAGCATATCAGATATGTAATGGTTTACTAGAAAAGTGTATCCATAATTTATGCTAATAATGGGCATAATAACACACAATTAATTAAATAAGGTGACCTTTTTAGTATTGTCAGGTTGCACAAAGCAACAAAAAGGCTATTGTAGATTTAGAGATCAAGCATTCTGTATAAATATTGCCAATGACTGTTGGATCCACAAGTTGATAATGGAGCTAATCTCCAATATAGAACAGGCTAATTTTTATTGAAATTCTACTACAGTGCATGTAATACACTAAAGAGCAACTTGTTGGAAAGTAATTTTTCAATGTTGGGAAAGAAATATTCAAGTCCTATGTGTCTGCTTAGGTAGATTCATGGTCATATTTGCAGAAGATGGATGTGCTTAACATAGCTGGAAGTATTTCCACACATCAGGAAGGGAAACAAGAAACTAAATCACAGAAGTGTTATTGCACAGAAGGAGGCCATTTGACTGACCAGTTTGCACCAAATCTCCAGATGAGCACCATGACTTAGTGCCATTCTGCTGCCTTTTCTCCACAGCGTTGTACTTTGGATGATTATTTGAACAGAAAAAAATGTCTCGATTGCATCAATTGAATGCTTCCAACGCACTTCCAGGCAGTGCAGTCTAGACCAAAACCAGTTATTGGAAGATTTTTATTCCCACATCATTTTTGCTTCTTTTGTAAATCATTTTAAATCTGTGCCCTGTCATTCTCAATTTGTTTGTGAGCAGGAACAGATTCTCCCTATCTACTCTATTCAGTCTCCTTGTGATTTTGAAAATTTCTAGCAAATCTCATGTTAGCTTTCTTCTCTCCAAGGATACCAGTCATCAACCTGTCCAACCTCTCCAATTTACCGTCTTAACTGGTTACTCATCCTTGGATCCTTTGTGGTAAAGCATTCATATCCTTCCTACAGTGTGGCACTCAGAACTATGCATAATACTCCAGGTGAGGTCAAACAAGCAACATATACAAGTTCACCATAACCTTCCTGCTGTTGTACTGTATGACCCTATTAATAAAGCCCAGGATACTGCATGCTTTATTAACCGACCTCTCCACCTTCCTGTTGCATTCAATTTTCTTTGCACATACACTAATACACATCCACGCCCCTCTGTTTCTGCACATTTTTAGCATAGCATCCTTTAATTTGTATTGTCTGTCCATGTTTTTCTTATCAATATGCATCACCTCATGCTTCTTGGCATTGAATTTCAGCTGCCACATATCTGCCTACTCCATCAACTTGTCTGTCCTTTTGATGTTCTACAGTGCCCTCCTCATAGTTTACAATGCCTCCAAATTTTTGTATCATCTGCACACTGAGATTGTCTACTGCACACCAAGATCTATGTTATTAATATCTATCCATTGACCATTAGACTCTGTTTCCTATCACTCAGACAAATTTGTATCCGTGTTACTACTGTCCTTTTCATCCCATGTGTTACAACTTTTCTCACAAGTCTGTTGTCTGGCACTGTATCAGATGTGTTCTAGAGGTCCGTGAACACAACGTCAACAGCTTTACCTTAGTCTACTCCTTCTGTTACCTCCTCAGAAATCTCCAACAATTTAGTTAGCTGTGATTTCCCTATAAGGAATCTGCACTGACTCTTCCTAATCAACCCACCTTTTTCCAATTTCTCTGTCTTTCTCACACACTCACACATGCGCAAACACAGACAAATAGGAAAAATCATTTATTTGTGAAGGTAGAAAAACTGGAAAGCCAGTTCAATTGTCTTTACTTCCTGGTTCCAATATGGAGATGATCCTTACAATAAAACAAAGAACTATGGATGCTGGAGATCTGAAACAAAAACAGAAATTGCTGGTGAAACAGATCTGGCAGCATCTGTGGGAAGAAAACAGAGTTATTGTTTTGAGCCCAGTGACTCTTCATTAGAAATTATGTATTTAATGTTCTCTAAACCTTTTCTACTGACATATATACTTTTTAAGACTAGAATGACTTAAACTGCAGTGCTTACTCCAGTAATACACCACCAATCATCTGTGTAATGTCAGTATATTTCATGCTGACTTGTAGTCCTATGTTGTCCAGATGCTCCTGAGTAACTGATGAAGAGTCACCGGACTCGAAATAGTAACTCTGCTTTCTTCCCACAGATGCTACCAGAATTGCTATCACCTGCAATTTCTATTTTTGTTTGAGATGATTCTTCTTTGGCTGATGGACCCCTTGCTGTTCAGACATCTTTCTCTGGAGGCTTCCACTCATTTCCCAGAAGTACAAACTGACTGATTTTCCACACTTTTTCTTCACCTCTCTCTCTCTCTGTCACTCTTTAACTGGTTTCCAGCTCTAAGCTACTTAGCCATCCAGGAGCTAATCCCTCCGTTGTTGGCAAGCAAATGTTTTTTGTCATCGATTTGTTCACTGGTGACAGCTATCAATCAGCTTCTTGTTGCCAATAAGAGCTGTATCAGTACACACCCTTGGCTCCAGATCTTCTCCAATCTGAACTTCAATTACTACTTTTTTTGTTGACAATGCCTGCCATTGATATCAGATTTATTGCAGAACTGAAGCACTGGTTTTTCAATCAGTTTTTCTCATTTCAGTCCCTTAGTTTTTAAAAACACAGAAATAAAAACATTAGTACTTAAGTCTGCTCTACTATGATATAGATCTCTTAACATGCATGTGTACAGTCTACATCATCTTACACCTTGAGGAAGCCAGCTCTTGACTGTATATTTGTTTCTATTTGATTGATGTAAAACTGATCTCCCATCACCCTTCTTCATCAGTGAGTCTTCCTTCATAAGTTAGTGTCCTTAAATTGTGGAATTCTACTGCGCATACATGCTTTTTAAGAGTACGTGACCTAAACTGCAATGCTTACTCCAGAAATACACCACCAATCATCTGCACAATGTCAGTATATTTCATTCTGACTTGTAGTCCTATGTTGTCCAGATGCTCCTGAGTAACTGATTTGTCTTATTAATAGCTGCCTCACACTGACCAGATGCTGTCAACAAAGTATAATATAGCAGCGCATTAAGTTCTGTCTTTCAGAAAAAGCCATGGTTATTGACTCTCAGTAAGATTTACTTTGCAGGATTTTCTAGTTGAAGCAAGTAATGAAATTATGGAATAATATTTCCTCTGAGAAAGGCTTTTTGGATTTATATAGCTATTAAAGCAAAAAACCAGAAATGCAGCTACCTCAACAAGAATTTTCCCTTAGATTTTGGAAGATAAGAAACTTGTCAGCTCACGAATAAAAGTGGCTTTATCCGATGTTCTCTAATCTATCATTGATCATTTTCATGCATCAATAATAACTTTGTTGCTCAGTGCAAATTCGAGCAGGCAAGCTAATTCACAGTTCTGCATATTGTGAACAACTGATGAACGATGCTGTGTATTCTAATAGAGGGAAGAGGATGATCAGTCCATCCTGTGCAATACCTCAGGCCACAATGTATTAGTCTGGACGATATGCGAACATATTAAGAGAAAGAATAGGCCAATTGGAACCTCCAACATAATCTGCCGTTTAACAAGTTCATGGTTGATCTGATTGTGGCCTCAACTCCACATTGCAGCTTATCCCCTCAATAACCATTGGGTTGCTTATTAGTCAAGAATCTATCTACCTCTGCCCTAAAATATTCAATGTTTGACACCACCACTCTCTGAAAATAAGAATTCTAAATGGTCACATCCTCTGAGAGGAAAAGCCATCCTTGACGCCATCTTAAATGAGAGATCCTTGATTTTTAAACGGTGTCTCCTAGTTCTAGTTTCTCTCACAAGGGGAAACATTGTTTCAGCAACCCCCCTGCTAAGTCCCCTCAGGATCTTATCTTCCCCAATAAGACCACCCCTCATTCTTCTAACTCCAACGGCTATGGGCCTAGCTTGTACAAACTTTCCACGTAAGGTACCAATCACCTCATCCCAGTTATCAGCCGTGAAAATCTTCTCTGAAACGTTTCTGATGTATTTGCAATCTTTCTTAAATAAGGAGTGCAAAACTGTACACCGTACTTCAAATGTGGTCTCAGAAATGCATTAGACAGCAGTCTCAAGTGGTCCCTAGTTTTATATTCCATATGATAGTGATTCATGTACCAGGACATCCATATCATTCTGCACCTCAGAGTTTTGCAATCGTTTCCCACTTAAGTAAAATGCTGCTTTTCTGTTCCTTCTGCAGCGGACCACCTATCATATCCTCCATTTATGCTCACCTCCGGCTTCCCGCTAATCAACCAATCCTCTATCTGCAATATTAGCCAAGCTGATATATTATACCTTACAACACAAGTTAATATTTTTGAATAATAATCTTTGATGTGACACTTTGTCAAATTACTTCTGGTAATCTAAGTATCATGTATTCACCAGAACCTCTTAATCTTTGTTGCATGTTATTTCCTCAAAGAACTTCAATGCATTAATCAAACGTGATTTCCCTTTCACAAAATGTTTTACATGTTGAATCTGCCTGATTGCATTAAGATTTCATAAGTGCCTCCTATAATCTTCCTACTATAACCACCTGAGAGCTGGTTGCTCATGAGGTATCTTAGAGGAGTAGAAAAAACTGTCTAGTTGTTTTGAAGAATGGTGAAACTGACCAGTAGAATTTACAGAAATGCTAGAGGCACAATTATCGCATCCTACCAGTGACTGGGACCATATTTAGGAAGAATGTCAGCTCCATTGACAACTTTACACAAAATTTGTCTCATTTTTTCCCGTCACTTCTATTATATGGGGGCATGTTGCAGGGATAACTTGCTGGGAATTGCAGCTGTATGTTCTGTTTGGCTTGAAATAACTTTACATGGCAAATGGACTTGGTTCCTAAAGTGCACCTGCAGGAACCTCATGCTACCCAATATCTCTGAATGAGGAGTCAGAGCTGAAACAGTTAAACAATGCAACTCCAGCAGCAAGTTTTAAATTTCTGTGCTTGAAAACACATCTGCTCTTGTCTGATATAACAAGGTGTAGAGCTGGATGAACACAGCAGGCCAAGCAGCATCATAGGAGCAGG